TCTCTTAACTGTTGCTTTCTGATGATTATAGTGACTGCATACATGTGCGTCTTTGGGACAGCTCTATTAGGTAGCTTTCTCTTCCAGACATTGCTTGAAGAAAAGTCATTCCCAAGTAAGTTGAAGAAACTGAAAAACGAAATCACTTTCCTTCATAACTGTTTGAAGATATACTCCAAGATTGTTTGAACAAACAAGAACTAAAAGCCTCCTAACATATATATTTTTTTTTTTTGGGGGTTGTAGGAGGCTGGATTACTGTACTTGAGTTATATCCTGGCTTTGCTCTATATCGTGGATTATATGAATTATCACAGTATTCTTTAATGGGAAATTATATGGAAACTCATGGAATGAGGTGGGGAGATTTTAGTGACAGCATGAATGGGATGAGAGAGGTCTGGATCATCATTCTTGTTGAGTGGATTGTGGTGCTTCCCATTGCATTTTATGTAGATCAAGTTGCATCTTCTGGAGGTGCAAAAAATCCTTTACTTTTCTTACAAAACTTCCGAAAGAAACCTCTGTCATCTTTCAGAAAGCCTAGTTTGGGAAGGCAGGAGTCTAATGTTCTTGTTGAGATGGAAAAACCCGATGTTTGTCAGGAGGTAACATTTTCCTGTTTCTAGTCTATTTTCAGCTGTCATTCACTTTTAGAAGTTTGTTAAGTAGTCTATATTATCTAGTATTCATTATTTTTGACAGAGGGAGAAGGTTGAGCAGTTACTAGTTGAACCAAGCATAAGTCATGCCATTATCTGTGATAATCTCAAAAAGGTTTATCCAGGAAAGGATGGAAATCCTGAGAAATTTGCAGTAAGAGGGCTATCTCTTGCATTGCCTCGTGGGGAGTGCTTTGGCATGCTGGGACCAAATGGTGCTGGAAAGACCTCTTTCATTAACATGGTCAGTGTAATTCTTTCTATGAAGTAAATAGAAAATGCTTTAAAACATTCTTTCATTATAACACACGCTTCTGCCCCTCAAACCCCTTATCTGTCATAGAACTATACTGTTGGGCAGAGGATTTCTGTCTCTCATCATTCAAATGAATATTTGGCTAGTTACTTCTGCAATAATTAAGTATTCTTTTGTTGACAGATGATCGGACTCACAAAGCCAACATCTGGCACTGGATTAGTTCAGGGTTTGGACATAAGGACTCAAATGGGTGCCATTTATACCAGCATGGGTGTCTGTCCACAGCATGAGTAAGCTATAATTCACTTCATTTAGGCAAAAAAGAAAAAAAAAAAACATCTTTTTCTGCTTTAGAAATGTTTCTTATTCTTTCCTTCCCCCTTTTTCCTTTATCGGCCATCTGTAGCCTTCTGTGGGAAAGCTTAACTGGAAGGGAGCACTTGCTATTTTATGGTAGACTTAAGAACCTCAAAGGTTCTGCTTTAACTCAAGTAAGTCGACAGTTTCTTTGCTTTGAGATTGTAATGTAAGATATTTTGAAGAAAATGATTCTCCTACATCTTATCTTAATTCTATATTACAGGCTCACTGAGAATATTTTTGTATGAAGGAAAAAAAAAAGTTGATGATGAGAACATCACCATAACTGCAAGTCATTTAGAATTCATGATGAAGAAAACTGCAAGTCAATCACCAGTGTTCATTACTTGAATGTATTGCATTACCAAAAACCGATTTTAAGAATTTTCTTTAAAAGCTCATTTCCACTGTTGTTGCTTTAGGCAGTAGAAGAATCTCTCAAGAGTGTCAACCTATTTCATGGAGGGGTTGCTGACAAACAGGCAGGGAAATACAGTGGAGGAATGAAGAGGAGGCTCAGTGTTGCCATTTCTCTGATTGGGGATCCCAAAGTATGTACTGGCTGTGTTAACATCTTATAATCAAATATGCTTCAAAATTGTTCATGGCATGACTCCATGTTATTTTGCAAGGTTGTTTATATGGATGAGCCAAGTACTGGACTAGATCCAGCATCAAGAAACAGTTTATGGAAAGTTGTGAAGTGTGCAAAGAGAGACCGTGCAATTATTCTCACCAGTATGTTCTCTTCATTCCCCCTGCATAACTTGCATAACTTGCATTACTATAGGCTACTAAATTTATTTGGAAAGAACCTCTTTATTATCCCTGGAACCTTGACATGAAAATTTTTGGCTGATAGAGTTTAATGCTGTATGTAACATTAACAGCATAGTAAGGGACTTTTGCCCTCTTGTGAAATGAGTAAGACTGTTTGGATTTTTCAGCACATTCAATGGAAGAAGCAGAGGTCCTCTGTGATCGGTTAGGCATTTTTGTGGATGGCAGTTTGCAATGTATAGGGAATGCAAAAGAGGTAACTCTCCTTTACATAATTTGGTTTTACAACGTTCTAAAAAACTCTACTTAATATGTTCAAATAAATTTTTGGCATTTAAATTTGATATTGCTACTGCAAATGACAGCTAAAGGCTAGATATGGAGGATCTTACACATTTACAATTACAACTTCTTCAAACCATGAGGAGGAAGTTGAGCATATGATACACCACCTCTCCCCCAATTCTAATAAGATATACCATATATCCGGAACACAGAAGTTTGAGCTGCCAAAACAAGAGGTGAGCATTGCAGAAGTATTCCAAGCAGTGGAGAAAGCAAAGAGTAGGTTCACTGTTCTTGCATGGGGTTTGGCTGAGACCACTCTTGAGGATGTCTTCATCAAGGTTGCACGGGGGGCACAGGCCGTCAATGTCATGTCTTGATTTCCTTCACAAATTGTTCTGTCCTCATATAATATTTATAATTTTAATCTGTTTAAACCTTCATGGTAGTTTCTTTATCTTTATCTTCCTTTTTTTTTTTTTTTTTTGACAAATGAACCTTCACAGGTTGTATTGCAGCTAATGCATAGTTGAGGTTTTTTTTTTTTCTTAATGAATTACAGTTATTAGTCTATTGTATTCATAAGATGTATGTACAGTAAAATCTTATTTCAAGATTTTGCAATCAAATGGGTTAGCAAGGGATATTTCTGAAAGTTTATTCTGTGATGATATTTGTGAATGCTGTCTATTTGGAAAATGTAGAGACAAGCTTTTCCAGTTGCATAGGCTCAGAGAACAAAACTACAAATGCCAAATTGAATTGGTTCATACTGAATTATGTGGACCAATGAAAACTCCTTAGTTGAGTTAGAACAAATATTTTCTTTTGTTTATTGATGGCATTTACAAGGAGGACTTGGGTCTATTTTCTCAGCCGCAAGTCTCAAGTGCTGTCTGTATTCAAAAAATTTAAAGACTCCAGGGTCTGATAATGGAATAGGGTCAGTTCTGTGAAGACCATGGAATCAGTCACTAATAAAGTGAGTTACACCATGCAGAACGGAGTGTCACAAAAGCAAAAACAGGACCATAATGGAGATGACCAGATGGATGCTTTATGAGAAGAAATTATCAAAAAATTTCTGGACAGAAGCTGTGTAGAATGCAGTTTGGGATTGGGAAGGGCAGAAAGTAAAGAAATTTAGCCTGAGTCAGTAAGATATTGGCTAAGAATGAAATGCATTTGAATGTCTCTAGCCGTCTCTCACACAAAGGATGAGGGTGACCACCTCCAGGTAGGAAGTTCTTGTTGGATCATCTAGCATTCTCAATATGATTTCTTCCTTTCTCTCGCCATCTCTTCCTCTCCATCAAATCCTTTCTTCTTCCTCCCATCTTCATTCCATTGTACTTCTAAATCCTAAAAAAACAAATCAACTTTTCAATTTCAATTTCTGCTTTCTTTCCTTTTTCACTCTCAAATCTCAAAACCCGTAAACATTTTCTATGATTTACATGGCAAATCGAGGACTGCTGATCGGAATGGGAAGGGAAGCTCAATCTGAGGTTCGAAGGTCTTATGCTGTGTCTAGAAAGGCTGTTGCTGAAACTCTGATGCATCACAACAGTATCTATGGAGTGCTAGCTAAAGCTTGGGTTGGCGGTAAGGTTCTCCAGGTAAACGTGGTAGACGAAAATATTTTATGTTTTCTATTCTCACACAGAATTTGATCTGAATTATCTACTGGAAATTGCTCCATGGTCTGTGGGTGATTTTTTGTTCCATGTCAAACGATGGGCTCATTTGGGTGTGTCTTTGGCTGAACTCGATTTCTCTCTGGCTTCATATTGGATTCAAGTTCATGGTTTAAATGTTGATGAGTTGGCTTACAATAATGCTGTTATGATAGGCTTCAATCTAGGAATTTTAGTCAAAACTGAGAATCTAATTATTAGCAATGTTCTGAGGGATTTCTTGAGATGTCGAGTCTTAATTGAAGTTCTTAAACCTCTGGTTGATTGATTCTGTTCCCATTCTCAGAACCGAGAGGATATTGAACATGTCAGTGGTAGGGTGTCTAAAGACCTTAGGGGTAAGGACTTTCCTATGGTTGTTAACTTGGATGGTATTTCTGTTAATGAATCTCTATTTAGGGGTACAAAGAGGGAGGAGGTAGCAGCTTAAGTGCCATCTGGAAAGGCCCTGGTTCCTGTCGGTGGTTGTGTAGGGGTGAGGGGTAATGAACATGATTATTGTGTGGCATTACCGGGTGATGAACTTGATCTGGCAGTGAAAAGAATGGAGCATATTATTCGTAGAGGATCACCCCTCACAAACGCTTGGGACAAGGTGTTAGATAGCCTAGGGTTCAAGAGAGCATGTGGCACTTTCGTCTTTGGAGGACAGATACCTTTGGACAAGGTGTTACGAGTTACAACCCATTTGGACAAGATGTTAGACCTCGGCTCAACAACCACTTCAGATGAATTTTCTAGTTCAGAAAACTAGAAAATTTCAGGGACGGATCATGATAAGGCTTCTTTGAAGACAAAACTCTTGCTAAAGTGTATGAAAAATGCAATTTAGCAGTTATAGAACCAGCTAATTATGATGAAGCCTCAAAATTTGAAGAATTGAATGTTGCTATGAAAGACGAACTGGTGATGATAAAAAAATAAAATAAAACTTGGTGACTCACTGCAAGACCAAAGAATAAGATGTCATTGGGGTGCAATGGGTGCAGAACAAATTTTAGTCCTGACGGTACAATTTACAAGCACAAGCCGGATTGCTTGTCAAGGTCTATATGCAACAGCCAGGTATTGACTTTAATGACACATTTGCTCCTGTTGCTAGGCATGATGTAGTTTTATAGGAGGAAATTTATGTAGAACAACCAGATGGTTTTCATGTGTCAAATGGTTTAGATTTAATGTATAAGATTCAGAAAGCTTTGTATGGCCTGAAACAGCCACCAGGAGCTTGATACAGTACGATTGATTCCTACCTAATTGAGTAAGGTTTCAGGAGGAGCGAGACAGAAGCTAGTCTGTATGTAAAGGACAATAATGATTGTTCATTGTTGCTGGTTTCTTTGTAGGTAGATGATCTGTTGGTCAAAGGAATCAGTGATCAGTTATTTAAACATTTTAACAAAGTAATACCAGATGAGTTTTGACATGTCTGATTTGGGCTTGATGAGTTACATTCTTGGCATGAAAATTCAGAAATGTGCTATTGGCATCTTCTTGTCCGAGGAGAAGTATGCAATGGACATTCTGAAAAAATATGGCATGGACAGATGCAAAGAAGTTGCAGCTCCAATAGTTCGGAATGCAAAATTGTCAAAAGGTGATGGAGATGCTAAAGCAAATCCCTCTTTGTATGTACATGTTTGATTGGCAGCCTATTGTATTTTACTGCAACAAGACTAAACATCATGTTTGCAGTTGGTTTGCTTTCCAGATTTATGATTTCTCTATCTGTGACACATTTTACAGTTGCAAAATGGAGTTTTGAGGTATGTGAAGGGCACATTTGATTATGGAATCTGGAATGCCAAATCAGGAAATTTTTCTCCAAGGATGCACTGACAGTGATTGGGCAGGCTGCATGGATGCATCTAAGAGCACCGGAAGTTATGTTTTCACTCTTGGTTGAGTAGTATTTGTTGGAGCACAAAGAAACAAGAGGCAGTAGCCCAGTCAACAGCAGAGACAGAATATATTTCAGCATCATCTGAAGATGCAAATCATACAATTTGGCTAGGAAAAATTTTGTCCGAACAACTTCAGAAGTAACCATATACTGTTTGATCAATGTAGACAACCAGTCAGCTATGGAAGAAAACCGAAAAAAAATATATATATATCTAAAGTAACTTATAATGTGAAATTCAAATGAGATGCCCAATCCTTTTCACTTTGGAAATATCATCATTCAAACAAACCAGAAAAGCTAACTTTTTCCAGTTATATTGTTTTGAACATCATAAATTACACGTAGGAATGACAACGAGGTCTCATGAGCTTGGGGAGTCCCTCCCCATCCTCGCGAATCACGGGGAAGGGATCCCCACGGGAATTTTTGATGCCTCCCATCCCCATTACCCATGAGGAAGGGTGATCTCCGCACGGAATACCCATTCCCCATCAATTAATATTAAAATATAATATAGCATTGGCAGGGATCCCCGTTCCCCATCAATTACAGCACTGCAGCAGCAGAGACAGAGTTCCAGAAGTTCGACAGTAGCAGATGGATTTGGCTCCGACAGCAGCTCCAGCAGTAGCTCCGATAACAGCAGATCAACTCCAGCAGATCAGTAGCAGATCAGTAATCCGGCAGCAATCATAGCACCGCAGTAGCAGAGACAGAGTTCCAGCAGTTCGGCAGCAGTCTGGCAACAATTCTGACAGCAGCAGAGCAACTCTAGCAGATCAGTAGTAGATCAGTAGTGGCAATGGAGAAAAGAGTGGGAGTGAGGGCAGAAGGGTGAGAAGGGCAGAACTCAGAAAAGCGGCAATGAAGAAGGTCTGAGATTCTTGAATCTTGAAGAGTGCCAACGGCAGAAGGGAGACTGAAATGTCCTAGTTTGGGCGCTGGCAGCGCAAATTAGAGACTGAAATGTCCTAAAATCACTGGATGATTTGATCCTGTGGTTCTTTTCTTGGTGATATATTTTTGTCTTCTCTATCTGCTAGAAGTGTTATCTAAGCTTGTCAAACGAGTTGTTGAAATTCATTTCTGTCTTGCTGGTGTTATGTTTCTTAAGATACAAATGTTTGTGTAAATTGGTGTTTTTTTCAAGTTTCAACTCCGTAGGTGATTCTTTTTGCATGTTTTACTTTGTCATGATTTGTTGCGATTTTAAATATGCTTTGCTTGAGATTATACCTGTATTAACGCTATCACTTCTTTTCAAGGCTCGACGGGCATTTCGAGCTCTCAAAGGAATAATAAGGCTGCAGGCACTTATACGTGGTCACTTGGTTAGGCGACAAGCTATTGCTACATTGTGCTGTGTGATGAGGATTGTTAGGTTACAGGCACTTATTGGTGGAGTAAAGGTCAGGAATTCTGATATTGGGCTTGAAGTGAATAAGAAATGCAGTCGAGTGAGAACTCTGGTAATTTTCTATAGAACATTTTGTTCTGATATTGGGCTTGAAATTGACTCACTAGATAAAAATCTAATTGAGTTTGACTAGTTTTTGCATATTTTCATTTCTGTCTCT